TAAAAGCAATATAATCATTATCGGGCATTGCATTTGAGCATGAAACTAATCACTGATATGCAGCGCTTTCAGCATGTAATAAATGTTCATGTTAATTAATCAGACGTAGGCTAGCTATTACAACTTTCATCTGAAAAAAATTTGCCAATGCAGATGTGAGCTTGACCGAAAGTGTAACTCGGATTGCGCTTTTAAAACACGAAAGTACAATCAATTCACATTCTTAGACTACATTAGTGTCACTATTGTCTTTGACAGTCTGTCCTTCAGTGAAGAGGCAGTCTTTTCATATAGAGCATCTATTCTTGCCATGACTGTTTTGCAGTGACGGAATGTCGTACTCGGGCTCAACGTAATGCATGAAATCTTGAAATCCTTCTCCGTTGACGAAACTAATGGGCAGCAAATCTTTCACCACCATTTCAGCGATTAGCTGTGTCATCTTCTCGGTTCTGCCTGCGTTGCATTTTGGTCTTACGGCAAATGATGCAATGCTCGTCTGAGTTGCCGCTCTGTTATCGCCAGACATTTTATGTACAAATGTTAGATGATAGCGCATTGTACTTGTTGTAGATTTGTGTGACAGCATGGCGCTGCACAGCTTGCACTGAACTGTATTTTCATCGGTCTTCTCAAAGTGAAGCCAGACATCACTACGTGACTTTGAGGCCATGATTCTCTCTCTTCTCACGTCTTTTGATGCATCCTGTGGCAAGCTAACCAATCAGAGCTCAGGCCGCCGCCCAAAGTGCTCCTATAACCAATCAGGGAAAAAAAACAAAAACATGATCGATCGTTTACATGATCGATCATCGCTGTCACGGTCGAGTACTCGAGTACTCGATCACTGTTGCACATCCCTAGTCTCTACATTAAATAACTGTGGTCTCTACATTAAATATCCTTCTTTTGAATCCTTGTCGTCCTCGTCATCCTGCCTGCCTCCACACACCTGGACCGTGACAGCCTGTGCCTCATTTCAAAAATTATTTACAAGTAATCCATCATTTGTATAGCTCTAATATGTACAAAATCTTTCAAACTCCTGAGAATAAAAATTAACATGAGAAGATAAAGAGCATTTTAAATAAGCATGAACATCCTCTGCTGAACATTCTGGCCTCATATAAAAATGTTTATTCTATAGAAAATATCTCCTGCCAGAATATATACAAAAATAATACATACCACAACTGGCCACCGTAACACTTGCAAGTGCTACTGTTGTAAATTTCCAGTGAGTCTATCTTTTGAACTTGCAACAAGTCATCTTGTTAAAGAAAGGCAAAAGAAATTCAGAAAATACAGTAATAACAAGAACACAAAAAACAATTCGGGAATGCAGAACAACAAAACATGTCATTGAATGGTGAAAGAATACATTTCTGATGCTTTTATGTACGGCCAAAGGCACTATGCTTGTAAATACACATTTATTCAGAAAGGAAGAAATGTAGTATTTAACTTTATAACCAAACTGTCAGCTTTGTACATTTGTACAGCTTCATGAAATTGTGTTACATTGACCACACATGCAAGAGTCAGAAAAAAAATGAAAATAAAATAAGTAATAATAATAAAGAAAGAAAGAAAGAAAAAATAAAAAGGAAAGTTTTCTGTAAGTTTTGAACCTTTCTGGGTGAAATGAGATGAAAAAAGCAATTAAAATTATGAAAATGCTGGGGCTAAAATGCACTGTAAAAGATTTGGGAGGTCAAAACTCAATTTTATATTGATTTATGCATTGAAAATGTTCAGCTGGCACATTAGCTGAACTAAATGAAAATTTTCAATGCAA